CAAGTAAAAAGCTATATTAACGTCAACAATTTTAAAAAAGCATTACAGAATGACAGTGACCTGGCTTCTCTAAATGCTGAATCATTAGCTGACATTGCAACATCATTATTTGTATCGACTGGTAGCGATTTCACATCATACTTTAAGTCGATTGGGAAGGCATTATTCTTTACGTACTTTTTTCAACATTGTGATTTTATCACGGGAAAAAATTCACATGGATCTTTGGCAAATTTTAGAGAAGTAGACAGAGATATAGGTTTTTTGGCCTTTTTACGGTTAGTGGGTACGGCATACATTAAAAAACATTTATCATCCTTCATATCCGTACATGGAATAAACACACCTCAACAGTTATTGAACTCTATAAGTACATCTTTAACACCAACAGAAAGGCACAAAGAATGGATTAATAAAATCCGAATTACTGTTAACGAATACATAACAACAGAAGACCAATGTGTACCAACAGTTACAGCACTATGGCGGCACTGGTTACGTGCCACATATATATGTAGAATGTGGGATAATTCACATTTACCTGATATGTATAGCACTTTAACTCCTCCTGAACAGAATGGGTGGCTTAGGTCAGACAATGGATGCTATGAAATTGATTGGGAAGATAGTGATGTACAGGATTCCATTGACTCTAACGTTCATTATCTCCTTAGTGGATGCTCATGTAAAAAAGGATGTAAGTCAAAGCAATGTGGTTGTAAAGGTAGTGGATCTTACTGTGGGCCAGGATGCCGTTGTCATAACTGCTGCAATTTGCCTGTCGAACCACTTCAAGAAACTCCTGAAATACAAGTATCAGAAAGTGACTCATCAATGTCAGATCACTCTGAAGATTTAGAAGAAGAAATAATTACAGACATGCATAGGCGGCTGCAGGGTCGGGCATTTAGGGGCAATGCCCGACCAAAAATTCTGACCGGAAGTGTGACATCACCATAATTAATAGTTATTCTATGGTTAATTAGTAGTTAATAACAGTTATTGCAATTATAATTTCAATTTTTTATGAAAATCTTATTATTATGAATGCATAAATGGCAGGCTGATAACAAGGTGATGAAGAGAGACTAAATAAAGGAGGAGGTAGTAAGACTTTGGTGCCAATCACAGTGGGCCACCACAGCAACACTAGAAAGCATAATCATTTCATTATTTAGTGCTATTTCAGTGTTCTTTTCTTGTCAGTTGCAATGTCTAAAAGCCTGGACAAGCTTCACTATGTCCTTTGTGAACAAGCCTGCTAAAAAGGAACAACAGTTTACAAAGTGAACCTAGTAAGTACAGTATAGAAGTCAATAATACAGATTATCTCATATTCTTACTTTAGGTCAGTCTCTTGTTGAATCAGTTGATGATCATGAGTCTCAGTCTACTCTTGTGTGGTTGATACAGCTACAGTTTTTACAGCTACAGTTGATGTACAGTCAATTGTTGCTCATTCTCCATCACCCTATTCTTCTACTTCCTCTACTAATACTACTACTAGTACTATTACCACTACAGAAGTCAGTGTTGGAGCTACACCACCCACTACTTTATTACAATAACCTTCGCTACCAAAAAATTGCACTAAAAAGGGTGCGTAAAAAAGGGTGTGGCCAAAATCGCGGGTGGGGGGGGGGGCCCCCGCGCGCGCGCTTCGTGCGCCCAACCCATTTCCTGTGCCACACCCATGCCCGACTAGTAGTCAAATCCTGCAGCCGCCTATGCTTACAGTATTCATCGTGTAGCTCGTTGTGCACACAGATGTCCTCGTCTCACTCCGTACAGACATGCAGATATGTATCCAAGTCCTGCTGATGCTCCAATGC